GCACATTAGTCCGGTCCCTATATGGCATTTTCCTGGAAGTTTTTGTTCTATTTATCCTTTTGAATTTATGTAGTTTAAAATTATGAGTTAAACAGGGGCAAGTCCTGCTCGTCACTCTTCTGATCAACTAGTTACCCTGTCTGGAGGCAGCCAGTGTTATCAAAATTGTGTGGCCTTTGAACAGTCTTTCATAAACACACATATTACAACTCCTCCCACCCCACCCCTTTTTACACTAGTGGTAGCATGCTTTATACATGTTCTGTTTTCTGCTTTTTCTGTCTTGGAGATTATTACATATTGGCTTACAAAGAGCTTCCTTGCTCCATTTTTTTTTTCCTGAATAACTGCATGTATTTCTCTTCAGCTATATAACATCATTACTAAACTGAGTCACCACTAGTGGTCATTTATGTTTGCTCATTTTTGCTAGCAGGGAATCACCGGTTGAAAGGATTAATGTGTCTGTGCTTTTTGTTAGATGGAACCAAATTGCCATCCGTAGCTTGTATTCACTTAACCTTTCTACCAGCGGTGTGTGCAGGTGTCTGTTTCCCTGCATACCTGGTTCATCATACCTTTTCTCTTACAGTTAAAGTGTTATGTCATTGAAGTATGTGTGTGTATATGTAAATGTTTTTGGTAAAGGTTGTGTGTAGTGTTTTCATTTCTGAATCATATTCCATCATCTGTATGTGTGTGAAAAAAAATTTATATCTCTATTCTACTCTATTATTTTTTTGTTTTTCTTTCTTTTTTTGGAGACAAAAACTTACTCTGTCACCCAGGCTTGAGTATAGTAGCATAATCATGGCTCACTGCAACCACTGCTCCTGGGCTCAGGTTATTCTCCCACCTCAGTCTCCTGAGTAACTGGGACTACAGGCACATGCCAACATGCTTGGCTAATTTTTGTGTTTTTTTTTTTTTTTGTTGAGCTGCCATCTCTGCGCTATGTTATTCAGGCTGGTCTAGAACTCCTGGGTTCCATCAATTCCATCTGGAGCTCCATCAGACTCCTGGGTTTATAGGCGTGAGCCACCATACCCAGCCTCTGTTCTGCTCTCAATGGACATTTGGATATTATCAGTTTTTAGCTAACAGGAAAAGTGCCACTATAAACATCTTATACATGTCTTTTGATGACCATATATATGCCTAACAGTTGTATGCATATCTAGGGATAGAATTGTTGAGTGGTTAGATATGAATACGTTCAGCTTTGGAAGATGTACTCATAGCATTTCCAAAGTGGTTTTGCCAGCTCAGCCTCCACTGTCAATGGGTATGAGTGTCTTTGCATCCCAGCAGAATTTCATTACACTCACTCGGGTGGGTGGGTGTATAGTGGTATCTTGTAATGTTAATTTGTATTTCCTTTCAGCATATGAATTTGAGCATCTTATAAAATGTTTATTGGCCATTTTGGATAGCTTCTTTTGTGAGGTACTTGTTCAAGTCTTTTGTCTGTTTTTCTATGGGGATTCTGTCTTTTTCTTGATTATAAGTTTATATTTTTGATGTGTGTTTTTTTGTCAGGTATTACGCTTTGCAAATATCTCCTCCCCCTCTGAGGAAATCTTTCAAGGCTGATGGTGTAATTGAAAATAACTGGTAGTGGGGCTCCTTGGTTGCAGTAGTCATGGAGGATCTCTAGATAGAGGATGACTTGCCATCTGATATGTCTGAATGACAGTGACGAGCCAGCCCCTTGAAGTGCTTCATGATGACTTGTCCAGGCAGAGGGAACAGCATGAACAAAGCCTCAGGGAAGGACAAAGCTTGGCATGTTTGGGTACTGAAAGAAAGCCAAGGAGGGAAGAAAGAGGTGGCAAGAAGAAATAAAGATAATCAGAATCTCTCTTCATTGCTCTGTGGGAGAGAAAGGCCTTAGATTTGTCATTATTCTAGTGCTGTTTATGACAATTGCTTCTCGTGACTGTGGTCTTTGAGTGTCTTTTGCTTTGGGAGACTGAAACATAATGTTTCTTTCTGTCCTTTGTCTTGCAGGTGTGGTGGACACAGGCCTATTCATCAACATGGCTGAGAGAGTCTACTTCGGGATGCAGGATGGCTCAGTTAACATGAGGGAGAAGCCTTTCTCTTGACCCTGCGAGGAGCAGAGTGTGTTCATCTTGAGTCTCCAGCCCACAGCCAAGGTGGACATACCTCTCCAGGAGCCTTTGCCTTAATGTATTTCTGCCAGTGTGGACAACTGGTTGTGAGGGATGGGGTGGGACAGTGGGAGGGGGAGTTAAATCCAGTCTTATGAAGTATTGTTATTAAATGTCTTTTTAAAAAGAGAAATATAAACATATATTTTTACTATTAAAATATTCAGTTTTTTTAATAAAGTAGAACTTGATGTCATGTTTTATATGAAACATTTACCAAGAAAAAAAAAGGAGAGGTGGACTGTCTTTAAAACCTTTGACTTGAGTCTGCTGGTAAAGCTTCTGAATATTGGGTTTGCTGAGAAATGAAAATCAAAACTTCTTTAAGCTGATAAAATGAGGGGCTCAGCCAGCAGTGAATTCCTGATGCCTTACTGGAAACTTTGTTTACTTGTCTGCCATCTTCTGTTTTGTTTTTAGTTAGTTTTCACTGTGAGCACACATAATACCTGGTTATATCTTAAGATCAGGTTTACAAAACTGTGGAGTGGAGCGGTGTAGTATGGAATGACTTGGAATGTAAACTCCTGGGGAGAAAATGTGGTTATATTTTCATATTTGGGGGTTTCTTCATATCCCTGCTGTTGGAAGAAATTGATCAGAAATGCTTGCCAGTACTGCCAAAGCACTGCTGTGAAATGTGAAGTACTTGTTTTTTTTTTTTTAATGATTTACTTTTTGTTGTTAATATTTTTCTGTTACTTCTTGCATGGTTTGGTGTCAGAAGTCCTTACCTCTTTATATTGTTTGCAGGTTGAAATAAAACAGTGTGGTGCCATTTTGACTCTTTTGTCTTTACTTTAGAATTTGAATTTAAATGGCCACAGAAGGAAAGCCAAGACGTAGGGGAATCAGTTTTGCCTACCCAATGTGTATCAGATCTGTATGGGGTGGAATTCACTCAAGAAATCTTGAACCAAAGAATAGGTAAATATTTCCATTATTTCTGGGAAAGCTATTTTCCATATATGTCAGTTATCTAAGGAAATATGCTATAGCCCTTTGTCAGGCAAGGTATTAATTTTCTTTGTTCATGAAGGCTAATACAGATGAACAAAAGTCACAGATTATCTCCACATTTTATATTAGTCAAAACTTGTTCAGTCATGGAAGCTGATAATCAGCCAAATAGGTAACCTGAATTTCCTCATTAGCACCCCCAACTCTAATCTGCAGTTTGCTTAATAAACAGTCAACTCTCCGAAAAGAGCCTCATGGGGAAAGGAAAGGCCTGAGCAGCTCAGTGAACATTCTAGACAAGGCTCAATCAGACTTGCTGGCGTCTGAATTCTTGCTAAATCAAATTGCAGAATAAAAGTTAATCAGGAGAGAAAGCATTAAAGTTGCTTATTTCTTTCAGAGTTCCCTCTTCACTCTCAAAGTACTCTTTAAAAGTAGTTGCCTTTCATATTGTTAGGAAACCTATTGTTAGGAGTGCTTTATTTTTCTTTTATTTGGTTTGGGTTATAATTTTTACACAAAATGGGCATTATATCTTAGCTGAGAAATCTTGATAAAGCTAATTTTTGAAATAACCCTTGAAAGGTCTTGTGGTCTGGATTAAATTTAGGAATAAAGATAAACAACAAAGTTAAGCTGAATTTCTGAAAAACACCTGCATGCACCACATCACATGTAAATTTTCTGTGGGTTTCATAAGCATTCGCACCTGTGACGGATCTGCAGTTCCTTTGAATGTCGAAGTTAGGTTTTCCTTCTCTTGAAGAAAACAAAACACCTATGTTTTAGGCACACATACAGCAAGGTACATTTTGAGTAAAGATTCTTCATTAAAACTCATTAAAGGTGATCTTTCTGGGAGTTACATGGAATAAGTATTTTCATGTAGCCCACATGCTAGTACATGTGATTAATGATGAATCTCAGGGGCAAGGGTGAGCTGCACACTTTGTTTTTGGGAATGTTTATAACCAAGGTATGCAGTCACACTCTGGGAAGTATCAAAGGAGGAAAATCACTGATTTGAATAAAATCTATTCAATTTGGTTTCAGCTATAGCTTCTCATTAAGTTTTTATATTCTTCATTGATAAACTGTTTGAGCTTCCATCATTGGCCAGTTCCTAGTGGGCACTAGTGGGAGGGAGAGGATGGGACACAGATGGTTAAGATCTGCCTGTGCTCCACAGGCTTCCAGCCTGGTGAGCCTGACAGGCCCCTTGACAGAGGAATGATGAACTGGAGGAACACAGTGGGCAGGTGGGCAAGAGATGGACTCTGAGTGGGGAAAGTGGTTGACAGGTGACTCTGGCGACAGCTTCCGACGTGCAGTCTTTGCTGGCTTTGACTCCATCAAAGCACTTTTATTTAATGTCAAATAAGCTGCTGTCAGCTTATGGCAGAGAAACAGATCTGAATAGGTTAAGTCACTTGTCACAGACAGAGCTAGTAAGTGGCTGAACCAGCCTGGGATCCCCTGGTCTTCAGGATGGAGGTTTTGTAGTGTCTGGGAGGATACTCTTACATTGGTCTTAAGAAGTGCCAGAGATGGTGTGTTGCAACTTTTTATGGGAAAATTCTAATGGAGACAGGCAAGTTTCACAGAAAAGCTACTTTTGGAGTAATCATTCCAAGAAGGTACCTTTCATTTTAGGGGCAGTGCTTTGCTTTGATGTAGTATTTTTATTGAACTATTATATTTCAGTAGTTTCAACCTTTTATCCTGAAGTGGCAAGGAGGGGAGGTGGGGAGCTATCGTATTTGAACCTGAATGTGTGCCAGGCACTATGTGGTTTTTTGCATTGTTATCTCATGTCACCTTTATGGTGTTTGTCCTTTTTTTAAAAAATTATTTTATTTTTATTACCAGGGGAGAGCATGAACGCAGTCCCCTACTACCACAAATTACACAGTCGAGTTTCCCACATTTGGGGAAATTGCAGGGAGTCAGCACATCTGGAGTGCAATGGATAAGGCTCGCCCTGGGAAAACCACCTTCATGATCATGGCATCTCCCCTATCAGGTGTTTGTTCTTTTAACTTGCTGAGTGAGAAACGGAGGCTTAGTTTAGGTTCAGGTCATACACTGGAAAGCAAGCCAGACTTCTCTGATTCTAGGCCTTGTTCCTACTTCAAGGTGTTTATAGGTCTTTGAATAGTTTGTGTTCCTTAATTGTGTCCATCAGTTGTAACTTGAGAAACAAATAATTTGTTAAAGTACTGGAGTTAGTGAATGGTTGGGTTGTGTGCGTAGGCTCATGGTTAATCCTATGATGATCAATTTCTGTCATCTTTAGTAGGAGGAAAGAGTAGCACATTGCGTATAGTCTCGGGTGGGCCACAGGAAGGAGGCCTTTGTAGAAGTCATCGTTATTTGTCACTCTGGAATGGAACCTGACAACCATTGATTTCTCTCTTCCATTGTCTGTTTTCTTTTTCCTCCTTTCTCCCTATGATTTAGGCACAGTGGCTACCAGAGGCATTGCTAGTCTGCAGAGGGTCATTTATGGCTGAGGACTGTTCATTCCTTTCGGCCAGAGATCATTCGGAACACACACACAGTTGGACAAAGTTGGATTTACCTGTTGAATAAGGGAAATTACATGCCATGGGCAGCTGCAGTTATCTCAGCCTTAGAACTTAGAGAGTTTAGGCCAAGGAAGCAGAGCTTAGCTCTGGATTGGATGCCGTCAGGAAGCGGGGCTAATAATATAACTGGAAATCTTAACTGTTCTTACCTAGAAGGTAAGAAGAATGGAGTGAGCCTAAAGCTACCATTGGTAAAGAAGGAAGTTATTCATTAGTGATGTTGGGCAATTTTTGTGATGTAGACAATGTTTGTCTATGTGATTATGGTCTTGTTTTTGTCTTCATCCATTAGTCACAGACTGGCCTTGTCTGATGTTGATATTGTGTGAAATTGTGTTCCACACGAGAACATCATGGCTTGGCTGTGGGTGCCAGGCCAGCTTATAGCAACATTGAGGTCTGAGTGATAGAGCTAGGCCAGCTCCCAGCCGTCAAGGGTGACATTGTTCTCTCTCTGGAGATATGGCAGAATCCCCTAGGATCCAGAGGGCCTGGGCATTCTTTAAACAACTCTTTCACCCTTTCACTGACAGAGTTTGTCAGTCCCTTTGACTAACTGATAATGAGCACTTGTGTGTACCTAGCACTGGGGTGCAGGAGTCAGGTCCCAGATACCCCAAGATGTCACCAGCCCTCAGACTTCACTGATGCCATGACAACCATTTCTTGTGACTTGATTCTCAGATGCCTGACTTTGCTCACTTCCTGTCACACCTAGTAGCTGAAGCTGCCAGATTTAGGATTGCATCAGCCTTCACTCTCCACTAACCCAGTAGTCAGATGAGCTGAGGTTTTAAACATAGGTTCAATGCCTTTGCTTTTTTAGTAATTGGGTTGTATTGCATGGCAGCAAAACACTCCAATATAGCCTAGTATTCAAATGTGCCCAAGTTGGACTCAGCAAATAAACATCTGTAATGGTGTTTTGGGAGGGATGGAAGTGTGACAGTTCACATGGCTGGTGCAGTGGAGGCAGAATCCAAAGAGGGAAAGAAAGGCTTCCCGGGAAAGGAAAGCCTGCTGTCTTTGGACCATGCATTATGTAGACTGATGATGAATAAGATCAGTGCTGAAACCCCATTCTATTATGCCCAATCACTGAGAACCATCTGTTCAGCAGCAAGATGGGAGAGGAAGCAGCTCTGTCTCAGAACTGAAGTCCTGGCTGGTTGCATCTCATTCAGCCTCAACCCAGTGGCAATAATATCTCTGAATGCTCCCTGATTGCAGAGAGAATACATTTTGAGAGTTCCCAGGTTTGGGGGTTTTCCAACTTGAGTTTCAACTAGGGGAATGGTGTGTGTCTTCCTTTATTTCAGAAGCTGTTCTTGGTGTAGGGTGAGACCAGTTTCCAGTCACCAGTGAGTTTTGAAGTTTCCAGGGCTTGGTTCTCTGGGCTTAGCTACATCTGGCCCCTGTGCCTCTGTGCCAGTGATGCTGCCACTGGGTTCTTTGTGAACCCATGAGAAGCACTCACAAGGTGAGAGCCCACAAGGAGCTGGGCCCAGAGCAGCACAGGTGTGAACAGGAATAGCAATGCCTGATAGAAATGCCAGCCTTAAATGTTCTAGTCTTCATACTGGAAAAGTTGAAAGAAACAGGCAAAATTCAGTTTATAGTAAAATATTCTATTTAACAAAATAAAGTATTACTACTTTAACACATAAGGCGTATTTCATATTTTTTCTTTGAAGTCTTCAAAATGCCATGTGTACTTAACTTAGGCACATCTCGTTTTGAATTGGCCACTTTCCAGGTGCTCCGTGGTCACTCATGGTGAGTGTCTATGGCATTGGAGAGCACGGAGCTAGAATTCAAGAGGGACATACATAGCCCCATTCTGACTTATTTAAGGCTCTAATTTCTTAGAGCAAGTCTGGAGTTCTGTAGTCTTAAGATGTTTCTAGAACCCACAGAGAGTTCAGTCAGTTGGAAAGCTACCCCAGAGAGGTCCACTCAGTAGCCTCAATTTGAACTGAAACCTTCATCTGTGCTTCCAGCAGATGACATTTTGACCTTAACTCCAGGAAAAAGAAGCCCATCCTTTCAGGTTCTAAGTTAAATGAATATTTTGGTGGCAATATACTGTTCTTTTTTGTTGTTGTTTTTTTCTGAAAAAGATTAAGTATGATGAAGATAGTAACCTAAGTTTGAAATTCCATTCTCCTATTTCCTAGCTTTTGGAGGACACTGTTTCATCTGAAAGCCTCAATTTCCTCATTGTAAAATGGCTATAAATAATAGTGTCTGTTAGTATTCTTTTGAAGAGTAAATGAACTAATTTATACCAAAAATATAAAAAATTACTTGTATATAAAACACTTGATACATTTTAAATTACTGTTTGACAGCTGTAGACTTGTATTTTCTAGGTTCTTTGGGGTTTGGAATTAAGAACATTGAGTTGTGCAAAATGGCTCCCTGAAAATAATTGGTGGGGAGTGTGGAAAGGAGAGAAAAACCATGGGTGCATGGGGATCCATGTATGAGTTTTTTCCAGAATGAAATTTTTCTTAAAATGACTTACGACGTTTGTTCTGGAATTTACTAAAGGAAAATTGATACAATAATTGCATATGTCCATGTGATATGCGGTACGGGTTTACTTAAGATGTGTGTGTGTGTGTGCACACGTGTGTATCTTCTACTTGGGGAAGTCATCTTTTTCAGAAATTTCTTAAATTCTTAAAATCGTTTTAAGAAATTTAAATTTTCATTTCTTTATTTTGTTTGTAGGAAGTGATTTATTTAAAGAGTGAGAGGAACAGGAGAAGGAGAGAGAGAGAACCATCTAAGTCTCACACTGAGTGAGAGAATCCAAAAAGATGGAATCCAGGAGAGGAAAGCAGCTTCCACACTGAGTAGAAGGGAATAGAGAGACACATGGAGTTTAGGAGGGGAAGACAGGCTTCCATGAGAGAGTGGAAGGGGGTCTTTTTTTTTTTTTTTTTTTAGAGTCGGGGTCTCACTTTGTCATCCAGGCTGCAATGCAGTGGTGTGATCATGGCATACTACAACCTCAACCTCCCTAGGCTCACATGAATCTCCCACTTCAGTCTCCCGAGTAGCTGGGACTACAGGCATGCACCACCGCGCCTAGATAATTTTTATATATTTTTTTGTAGAAATGAGGTCTCATCATCTTGCCCAGGCTTTTTTAAAGTAAAAAGTTTTTAAACTTTAAACTTTTAAAATCAGTCTTATCTAGATATAATGAGCATACTGTACAATTCACCTGTTTGAAGTATATAATTTAGTGGCTTTTAATATGTTCATAGTTGTGTAACCATCACCACCCTTGATGATTTTCATCACCCCAAAGAGATGGAATGTCCATTAAATAACTCCTTATTTTCATAGAATGCTCCTTCTCCCCCTCCCCTAGATCCCCTAGGCAACCATGAATTTACTTTCTGTGTAGATTTGCCTCTGCCAGACATTTCATATGGATGGCATCATACAATATATTGTCTTTTGTATCTTTCTTCTTTTGTTTGGCATAATGTTTTCAGGTTCATCTATGTTGTCACATGTACCAGTATTTCATTATGTTTTTATCGCAGAATAATATCATTGCATGGGATATTATTTATTCATTAATCAGCAGATGGCCACTTGTTCTATTTCTACTTTTTGGCTATTAATGAATAATGCTCTTACGAACGGTCACGAATAAGTTTTTGTGTGGACAAATGTCTCATTTTTGTTGTCATCGTTCCACTGTTCCTCCTTTATTTTCTTCAGGTATATATATAAAATTTTTCATACCATCATAATTCCTCTTTTTAAAAAATATGTTTGTGTTTATATATACATGTATGACTTTCTTAGTAATTTCTGTAGTTGCTGAATCTGGAAGGAAGACTAAAAGGCCACCAGGCAGGCAGCGTGGTGGGAGGAGTGAGGAGGGAAGGAGCATCCATGCAGAGGGAATAGCATGTGCAAAGACAAGGGTGAATGAGGATGTGGTTGGTACAGGTAAATTCGAGGAACTTTGAGGGCTGACAAGTAATGCTGGCTCTGGGGAGGTGTTGAGAGAAGAGAAGGGAAGGCAGGAGCCATGTAATGAAAAATTGTGTTCACTGTTGCTAAGGACTCTGGACTTAACTTGCCAGTGGGGCTTTAGGCAGTGGAGTAGCATGATCAAAGCCATTGCTGGCTGCGGGGTGGAGGCTAGGATGAACAGGGCAGACAGAGTCTGGGCCAGGGCATCAGTTAGGAGTCTATAGAAATGGTTCAGGGAGGCTTCCCAGCTTATTTTAGGACTTTCTTTAAAGCTGATGGAATGTTTTCTTCCCAGATTCAAGGTACAGCAAGGGTTGGTTGTGAGAGATGCTTCTGCTACCATTTCTGTTGCTCACAGTAAGGCAAAAATGTCAGTCTAGATTCAAAGAGGTGGTGCAATAGACTCCACTTCCTGATGAGGGAAGGAATGAATGCAGG